TTGACTGCCCACGTGTCTAGAAGTCATCTCCACTTTGAACTTGCCACCCTTATGGAAATTTACCCCTCTTGCACCTGAGAGTTAAATGTTGCCATCAGGCCTTTGTTATGTCAGGATACTATCGTGCCCCCATTGCTACTAGAAAACCAGTTCTTTAACAGCATCTTTTATCAGTTTCAATCTACAGAGACAACCAGTTCTAAACTTCTTAAAGATGCTGGTACCCCTTCATCAGTGCCTTTCCCACTGCCTTTATTTAAGAGTCCCCAAAGCTGGGTGTAGTGGATCATGCCTGTAATCCCAGCACTTTGGGAGACTGAGGTGAAAGGATTGCCTGAGCCCAGGGTTTGAGACCAGTCTGGGCAACTTAGTGAGACCTCATCTCGACAATAAATCAAAAAAATTAGCCATGTGGTGGTGTGCGCCTATAGGCTACTTGGAAGACTGAGGTGGAAGGATCGCCTGAGCCTAGCAGGTCGAGGCTACGGTGGCCATGAGCATGCCACTGCTCTCCAGTCTGGGTGACAGCGAGATTCCAACTAAAAAATAAAATAAAGTCAAGTCCTTGGGCCTTTGTGAGGCATGCTAGTAGGCTGCCCAGTGTTAAATAACAATTCTTGCATGCCTACTTCCAGTAGTAAGTCTTTTGGTCCTTTTTGGTATGGTCTGCCCTATCCACCTCATTTAATGTGGGCCAATGTTTTTCCCAAGCTCCCAAAAGCCATCTCAACAGCATATTATAACTGCCTCATGGGGCCTTGACTGGATGTTCCAGAGTCACAGGAAAAAGTCTCTATTATCACAAATTCTATATGAGTTACATTCTTTTTTTTTCTTTTTGTCTTCAGCCCTATTTTTATTTTTGAGACAGTCTTGCTCTATTGCCAAGGCTGGAGTACGGTGACATGATCATAGCTCACTGCAACCTCAGACTCCTGGCCTCAAGTGATCCTCATACCTTGCCCTCCCAAATGGGTGACTAGCACACCACTGTGCCTAGCTAATTATTTTATTTTTATTTTTATTTTTTGAGTTGGAGTCTCACTCTGTCACCCAGACTGGAGTGCAGTGGCCGCTCCTGGTCACCGCAGCCTTGACCTGCTGGGCTCCAGCGATCCTTCCACTTCAGCCTTCCAAGTAGCTGGAACTACAGGTGTGCGCTACCACACCCGGCCAATTTTTGATTTGTTGTAGAGATGAGGTCTCGCCAAGTTGCCCAGGCGGGTCTCGAACCCGCGGACTCAGGCAATCCACTCACCTCAGCCTCCCAAAGGTACAGGATTACAGGCTGAGCCACCGAGCCCGGCTTATTTTTTGTAGTCAGGCTCTGGCTCTGTTGCCCAGGTTGAGCACTTATTATCCACCAAGCACTGCTCTAAGCACTTGATTTCACTGGGCAGATGAGAGAACCAAAGCTCAGAAAAGTGATGTGACTTCTTCAAGAACTTGCAGCACACAAGTGGCAAAGCTAGGATGGGAAGCCCAGTTCTGCTGGCCTGACGCAGCTCAGCCTCTAAGCTAGACTGTTCATGAACCCCAGGGAGGAAAGGAAGACAGGCTTATTTTCCATGTCTCCCAGAATCCAGAACAGATTATCTACTCGATAAACACCGGGAAATGGAACAGAAGACTCTCCAGAGGAGGCTCAAAGAGGGGGTTACAATAAATATCAGCTGAGTGACCCATAAATGTCCACTATGTCCTGTCTCCTAGACTGCCATGGACATGAAGGGGGCTTTGTCCAGATCCACATTGCTAGCCTGTGCACGCATCTCCTGCACCTGAGGTTGTTGCTTGCTAAGGCTCACAACTGCCTGTTTCTCCAGAAAACTCAGCCCCCACAGGAGTTGCACATAGAAGAGGGGATGCTGTCACCCCTGGGGGCAGCTCCCTGCCAATGACCAATCAGGGTTGCCAAGGGCCAGCATTCCTGCCCCAAGAGGAGCTCAAACCCTCATCTCACTCCGCTCCTAGAGAACCCAGCTTAAGACATGACCCAATGCCCAGTCCTTTCGGTCCCAGGAGACCCTGGCCCCTCTCTAGCCCCACCCCTGCTAAGCTCCCACCCACTCGTTCCCAGGAGGTCTTCTTGGTTAGTCTTCACCCCAAAGTGGGGATGCTAGAGTTATTGAGGCTGCGGTTGTACATCGATTTTTTCACCCCTGTGATCTGAGACATGGGTTGGATGCAGGGTACAGGGGGTGGGGGCTGCTGGCAGGTCTTGGTCTTGGCGCTTGCTGTTTTTCTCGCTCCTTCATTGTGGGTGATGGGATCTCCACTTCATTCTGTTTGTCCAGGAAGGTCGTGGAAATGTACTCTGAGACCTGGTTTCCCAACTGGCTCATTTCTGATAGACATGAGAGTTCACCGTTAAGCATCCTCTTGAACTTGTGGGAGGCCATCTTGCTGACAGAGCAGTAGGTCTGCATGGTCTCTAGCTGCTCCAGACACCAGTCCAGCTCCTCCAGTGTCTCCCGGGCCAACGGCTGACATGTCTCCTCTGACAGCGTGTCCTTGCAGACAGACCCCGGGAAGGCCAGGCCACCCTGAAGCCACCTCCTCAGCACCTGTGGCGGCAGTCTCGGACCCCCATCCATATCCAGCAGTGAGGCTACTCCGACAGCGTGGAGCACGCTGAGCCGAAGCGGCCGCCGCACCGGCCCATAAAGCACGCCGACTCCATGGACACCTGCGACCAACCCAGCCTGCGCACGATCCGTGAGTCCTAGCCCTCGTCCTTCCATGGCACTGGCACCGACACCAGTGGCGTGGGCAGAGGCAGCGGCCGGCGCTTCGAGGCTGAGAATGGGTCGATGCCATCCCCCAGCTGCAGCTCCCTGGACTCACAGGCGAGGCCGGGGCTGGTTCTGCACACTGGGCGGCCACCAGCCAGCGCTGAGAGTCCTTCCTATGCCGCTCAGACAGCAACTGCGACATGTCACCCAAGACTATGTCTTGGAACTCATCGGTCACCAGCTAGGCGCATGCCGAGGACCTCGTCCTAATGCCGTTTGCCCAGGTGCTGGCTAGTCTCCGGAGCATTTGCAGCAACTTCTTGCTCTTGACCAAAGTGCCCATTCCCAGCAACAAGCGGTCCCGCTGGGAGGCCCCACCCCTGGGCAGGGACAGAGACAGGCCCTGTTCCGAGAGGGCGTGCAAGCTCCATGGCGCCAGCCTCCACCTGCACCCCAGGAGACCCCTGGCCTTTCCAAGCGGCACCCCGCTCACTTACGCTGGAGCCGACGAGTCCAGGGCCCTGGGAGCACATCCGGTCACAGTAGGGCCGTGGTGCCCCGGGGACAGACCCGGGGGCAAATCACCCCGGCCAGGCTCTGCAGCTGCCTGTAGGCACCTGGAGCTCTGTTCCGTGCAGGACTGTGCTCTCCGTGCTCCTGAGTTAAATTCTTAATTCATGAAACCATCCATACAACCAAAAATTTATCTAACACACAGAATTTTGCACCAAAGGAGTAACTTCTTTAAAGTTTGAGAACAGCATAATATTTCACCTATAGCTTAAACCTAAGCTTTGTAATGGTTGTTTTTAAGCAGCAGAAAATGAAGGCTAAAGAAATGCTAGCGATGTCCTTACAATGACATATAATGCTGAAAAACAGGTTCTCTAGAGGCAACTTTCAAACGGAAGAAAACAAGTGCAGATATGTATCCGTCTGGCTAGGATCTATGGAGACTGAGGGCCCCAAAGCAGTGCTACTCAAAGGTGGTTTATTGACTTATGCTGGTCTGTGAAGAGCTTTTTACCAGTCTGTGACATCATGAATGAGAAAGTGAAAGTGTTTAGAAGCTTTTTAGCATTTTGACATTGCTGTGATATCCAAGTACATGATAAGAGCACTTAATCTGTTGAATAAGCTCTGGTTTGAGTGTTGTCAAACTTGCATGGTGGGTAGCATACGGTGTGAACGGCATACCTGTCGTGGGTAATAGGAATGTATATTGATACATAAATACCTGGTCCTTTACCACCACACATAGTATGAGAAGGACTGTCCTAGAGTACTGAACTCCAAAAGTCCTAGCATAATTCAAACAGTGTTTTTGGAACAGAGAGTGACCTCAGGTCAACTTGTTCATATTCAATCAAAATGAAAATGAAAATGAGTGCCTTGGGAACAAAGCTAAAGTGGACTAGGGCATCTATTTAGATTCCTGGAGTAAGCCCTGGTCAGGCTAGCAGAAGTGCAAATTTGTAAAAGAAAACTAGCAGGACAGGAGGCACAGGGTTCTGGAAGCAGTGCCCTTTTGTTCTTTGCTCCTCCTCACTATCCTTGGCTAGAACTTTAAAAAGAAAATTTTGGCATTCAGGCCCCCTCAATATTATCAAGTCTGACTATACTTTCTCCATCTCTCGCAAAATAGAGAATTATCACATTCAGACCTGGACTCTTCCATGTTCTGATAAGGCATGGCACCTAGACCTTCCCAAATAGTCAGCAGCCTTAAAAAATATTTCCCTTTGTCAACACCACAGACAAGAGGGAAAAAGTCTTAACTGAGGGGAAAGCAACATGTCATGAGCTCAGAGTGACTCAGAGGATGAACGTGAATTTACTCTGGCAAGAGTTATTTTTGAGTGAATCAGGACAGCCAGCGGGGCTGACCAGAGTATCCACCAACATATGGCAGCCAAGGTCCACAGACTCACTGGGAGTCAGAGAGCAGCAAGGTCAGCTCAGAGAAAAATAACTTAGAAAACATGCTAACAATGTACCACTAAAATTAATCATACTAATGTGAAACATTAAAATATAATATCAACTGAAGGGCTTTCCAGATTGAAATACTCAGGAGAAAATAAGGAAAGATGGCTATCTAGTCTCCTTTGCCAACTGAGGTGCAGACTGCACTGGTAATAGGGCGGGGGCTGTGGTGGCATCCAGCACTACAGTATTATGTAGAACTGGTCTAACGTTCCTCACTCTGCAACTTACAGAAGCCGAGGAATATCAGAAAAAGACCTGAATGAAAAACAGGCCACACTCCTCACTCAGAATATTTATTAGACACTGCCCCAAGGGGCCTACAGGTAAAAGAACCCAGACTGTACCCCTCCCCCTTTTCCAAGCTACCTTCTTGAACCAAGGGATAGGATTCTGAGGGAATCAGTATCTCAAATGAGCCAGAATGTATCTGGGGGAAGAATGGCCATTAATTTCACAGACCTGACATTACAATTATTTGTTTGCCATGGAGAGAGGAGCCAGTGAGAATGGTGGAAGAACTAGATGAGGAGAAACAAGATGGGCCCTTTGTTGTCAGAGCTTGGGCTTAAGAGTTGGAATAAACAGGTATTTAGAAAAGAGAGGAGGTAAGAGGACAGGCAGAGGACAGAGGAAGGTCAGGGGCTGGGTTCACCCAGATCACATAGCATTACAGGAAGAACCAGGGTAGTAACATGAGCTCTCAGATTGGAACATGAAGTTGAGGGCTCAGCACTAGAGGAAGGAGAATCCCAGGGCTTCTCTTCCAACCCTACTGTGATTAGATGCAAAAGCCCTTTCTCTTTAGGTAATTCAGAACGGTCTGTCTGAAGGTGAGTATGGTAAGACATGTAGCCCCAGTCTAGGCTGTTTCTCTCCATTCCCAAAGGTCCTACTGAGAGGACTATAGAAATACAGAGTCCCAGGACTCTGTCCCTGCTCCTCAGGTACAAGAGAGGGAGTAGAGACAAGGCACAAAGACCCGGGGCATAAAGGTGAACATCCATGTGGCCACATATAATAACATTACTGCAGGAGAGGAAATAAGGTACATGCCCCCAAAAGAGAGGCCTTCCTTCGTCCAGCAGATGGCTGGGCCTTTGATCGTGGCAGAAACCACAATGGAATAGGGCTCACAGAAAAGGCCTGTGAAACAGACCCTATTCCTAGGAATCAGAGAAAATGCCTCAGCTGGTATGGCACAATCTTGAATGAGATGACAGAGGGCAGCGGGCAGACCGCTCCCGCAGACGACACTCCTGCCTCAGCTCCCAATGGTTCTGCTGACTCCAGATGTTCCCCATGGATGGGACTCAGGGAAGAAAACGTGTTGTGTTTCACATGATCAGACACTGTTCGCCATTGGCACCTGGTGGGCCCGAAAGATTGAGGGCATCCAGGTCAAAGTTGAGGCCAGGAGGCTGGAGAAGAGATGAAGGGACTCAGATAACTGCTCATATTTCCTGTCAGTTTCTGTGTCCATACCCAGTGGACACATTATCACCTTAGGTGAAATCACTAGAGGTCATTAAATTCTGGATACCAAGGGTCAGATCAAAATCTAGGAGGACATATACTCACCATCTCCCCAGCCAGTTCTTTTGGAGGATGACCCAAATCCTGTAGCTGGAAGATAAGGAAAGAGGAACATGAGACAGAGAAAATCCCAGAAAACAACAGAGGATCCCAGAGGGGATGTAATTAATAAATTCTCTGATTTCTTCTGAGAACTGTACTATGTGGCCTCCCTTGTCATCCCTCTTCTACCCAGATTTGGCATTACAGCATCCTTCCCAGATACCTCCCTCCACTGAACACCTAAGTGAACAGCACCAGCAGGCAGAGGACGAGGAGGCCTTACCTGCTGCATAAGATCAAGCACCTTCTCAAAACGAGCTTTTTGTGTGGCTTCACTGTCTGTAGGAGTCTCTGCCTCAAATTGCTCACATATTTTGCCCATGACACTGTGCTGTTCCTGGTATTTTTCAAATTGCTCTGGAGGCAGAGATTCCCGGTGACTCTGCAGCCATTCTGGATACTAAGGAAAGATAGAATGGGCGGGGAAGAATTAAGTGGGCAATGGTTAATACTTATGATATGAAAGGCAAGGGAACATAGAAGGAAAAGTTAAATAAGCAAGTTCATCATGAAAAGCAGCACTGAATTCAACCAGATCACCTGGCCATATTTATATTTATGGACACCAGAGATCAGCAAACATTTTTTGTGAAGGGTCAGACGGTATATATTTTTGGCTTGGAAGGCCACATGTGGTATCTGTTGTGTATTTTCTTGATTTTTTGTCTGTCTGCTTTCTTATTTTTTAAAAATCCTTAAAAATGTAAAAACCATTCTTAGCTTGAAAGTTGGATTTGGCCCACCCAGGCCTCAATCTGCTGATTCCTAGTCTACACTATTCATTTCACACTTAACCACGTTTCCCTGTGTCACTGAAAAGCTTCTATTCCTATATTTTGTATTTCCAGTAAAACTATAAGCTCTTTGATGGTAGGGATCATCATTTAAACCACCCATATTTTTCTCAACATAAACCCAGTATATCATCAGTGAATCCTTGCTGGAGAAATGAATGAAGTCAGAAATGCAAGGAGTTGATCAGACAACCCCATAGGCTTGGACCAGTTTACAGAAAACTAGAGCTGAAGGAATTCCCCTTCTGCCTCAGACACTGTCAGTGTGGTAGCTTTATTTTCTCAGAGACACAACTCTCCCCACCCCAAATAAACAAAGGAGATAAAAACAGGGACTTGTGTACTTGGGCTACTCTCTCTCTGCAGGCTCTGAGTAGGCAAGGCAGGCCACATAAATTGATATTATGGAGAGTGAGAAAAGCAGAAATGGAGTTTAGAAACCTTTTCTGTGATCTCCTTCAGTGACGGATACAGCACATCCTTGGACAGCAGGTTCTGCATGATACTCTGCATGATGGGGAGGATGTTCCCTTCCCCATCCCCTTCGTCCATGCCCAGCCCCTCCATGGCCTTGGTTAGTTCCTCTTCTGACATGCCAGAGTTCTAGATAGGACAAGGAAGAAGTAAGCAAGTATACTGCCTTCTCAGAATGCTTTCCACTTGGCTGGGAAAGATGAACTATCTAAATTTGCCTGTAACAAAACAGGAAGGCAGGAACAGTCTTGAGATGATATTCAAGAACTGTCTTTTGAGACTTTGCGGGTGAAGTATCTGGGAGTGGGGCCCTTGAGGTCCCCCACCCCTTCCCCCTCACCTGAAGGTCAGTGGCATTTTTGGCTAGTCCACTTAGTGTCTCCTTTAGGCAAGAAGTGAATTCTTGTTGGGAGGTTGTGTCACTGCCTAGGAAAGATAAAAAAGCCAGGATCATTACGATTTTAACTGCTTCCTTGCCTGGACTGAAATGTTTACCAGCTTGGATATTTATTAATACTAGTGAATCACTATCACTCCAAATCTTTGAATATTTGATTGTTATCATCATAGTCATTTCATAACAACATGGACTATGTACCAGTTTATTCTCCCTGATGACACCCACAATACTATTACCTTTAAAATGATCAGTTCTTTTTGTTTGTTTTCTTTTTGTGAAATAGGGTCTCGCTCTGCCATCCACACTGGAATACAGTAGTGCGAACATAGCTCACTACAGCCTCAAACTACTGGGCTCAAGTGATCCTCCCATCTCAGCCTTCTGAATAGCTGAAACTATAGGCACACACCACCATACCAGGCTAATTTTTTTTTTGTAGAGATGGGGTATTGCTTATTGCCCAGGCTGGTCTTGAGACTGGCCTCAAGTGAGCCTCCCATCTCAGCCCCCACAAAGTGCTGGGATTATGGGCATTAGCCACCACACCTGGCTATGAAAATGGTCAGTTATGAATAGTCTTTCCTATTACTTTCCAACCGATCTCAATCTCTTCATTAAGCAGGGTTCCCCATCCCTCCTCCTATAGCCTTTCGCTACCCCCATGGCTATGACATCATGATTGCTATCAACTTCACTAAGAATTCTGGTGTTTTAAGCAACAAAGAATTAAGAGGGCTGTTCAGAAATTTCCATTTGTCTGGGGCCCCCTCCTCACCCACTCTCCCAGCAGCCTCTGAGAGCTTTTGGAACTGCTCCACCAGGTGGGGCTCTTCCTCAGCCAACTCCTTCATTGCCTTCTCGAACTCCGCGGTAGCTTGGGAAGCCAGTTCACTGTCGAATAGTTCCTGGAAAAACTTCTCTTGGGAAGCGAAGAGGGCATCCTGCAGGGGTAGGGTGGCCACAATGTGCCTTTTACTTGGCACCTCAGTGCCCCAGCCTCTGAAAGAAGCCACAGACAGTGGCTCTGGGAAATGGAGCACCTGCCTCCCACCCGCTTCCACTGGATGTTATAACTACCTCTCTTAATGAGGACAGTAAAAAAGGCTCTCTGGATATTCAAGGAAGGTATGAGGTGGCATACCAATCCAAGCATTTCAATCCGCTTTTTTCTCAAGGAACTCCCTTAAGATCCCTCCATCCAGCCTCGGGTCCTTATTTCACAAGGGCTGAGGCCTGCAAGAGCACTCACCAGTGTGAGGCCAAGGCACCCTTCCCCGCTTCCCCTCTGGCCCACAGGGGCCTGCCCACCTCTGCTCAGAGCTGCATGCTCATCCCCTCCCCCTCCCTTAAGGGGGTGGAATTTATACTTTGGCAGTGTCTCCTGGCGATCTCTTCTGGGGCCCCGAAGCATCAGGGGCTGTGGTGGTAGGAGGGGGTGCTGGGGAGGGTTTGGCTTTATCGAAATCATCAAGAGCACCTTCAGAGACAAGAGACATGGTGTGTGTGTTGAGGACAGATGAGGATTCAAGGCTGGGTGGTTTCTGGGCAAAGCATTAGGAACATGATGTTCAATTTGCCAACTTTCCTCAATTTTCCTTTTTTTTTTTTGAGACGCCCCTCCCTCCCAGCCCACCCACCAAAAAGCTTCCTACTTCTCTCTGGATTACCTACAGAACTCACCCTGGATCCCTAAAGGGAATAATCTTTGGCAAGCAAACACAAGGTGTCCCACCCAGCTTCCCGCTGGTCCCGGTACTAGTAAAGCGGAGGGACAACATACTGCACTCCATGAAAGGGCATTAAACTCTCTTATCCCCCTCAACCACCGAGAGCTCTCTCTGGCCCCATCTCTGCAGATGACCGTGTACCAACTCACAGAGTCACTTGGCACTCACTCCTCACTGCTTCTGTTCATTTTTCTGCCTGCCCACATGTCTATGACTGGACAAGAGATTAAAAATTCACCTCTGCCCCGAAAAGCCTGTGTCTTCACCACCACTCTGCTTGCCAGGCCGAGGGAGAGGGCACTGGCTCCAACCCAATAGAAGAGTGGGAGACAAGGCTAAGGAACGAAAAGAAGACTGAACTGCCTTCCCCTGAAATCGCTTCATCCTCAGTTTCTCAAAACGAGGAAAAGGAGTGTGCTTGAGCTACTGACATGACAGAACTGTAAGAGGCCTGGTGAGAGAACAGGGAAAGGACTGGGAGAAAAGAAGTGTCTTCTGTGTTAGGACAGGACAAGGCACAGAAAAACCGGCTACAGAATTGCTAAGAGTGAAAGCAGTCCGCGGGTGTGCGGCTCGCTGCTCACCGCGAGCCCGACGCTGCTGCCGCCGCCGACGGGGTAAAAATAAGACTTCAAGAACTTAACCACCCCAACCAAGGGGAGCTTGGAGTGGGGCCGTGCAACACCGACCTGCGGGTTACTGCTCCCCCCTCTGGCAGGAAGGCCCACGGTCTGGGCCGTTCAGGGGCCCCAGGTGAACGCCCCAGCTCCTGCCACAGATGTGGAACAGGGTAGCCCAGAGACTGCCGGGGGCGCAGCCAGACCCTCCTAACCTTTGGCGAGCCTCTCCCAAGCATCTCAGACTCACTTGACCTCCCGACTGGGTCCTCACACCCGCTCCCCAGGGCCCTTCCCATTGCGGGCTCTTACTTTCCAGGAGCTCCTCCAGTTCCCGGTCTGCGTCGACCCCGACACCACAGTCTTCCTTAGCGGCCGCCATCTTGCTGCCTCCGACTTGCCGTAGGAGGCGGGACTCCTCGGTATGGCCCCGGGCTCCCCCTAGCCCCGCCCCCTTTTGCCTCGAGCAGCCAATGGCATTGGCGGCTAGCGCGGGACCGCCATTTTTAAAGGGACAGGAAGCTGGGGATTTTTGTAGTTTTTTCCCCTCTTTTGCCTGGAGCCGTAGAACCAAGGAGAGGGGAACGTTACTGCTATCTACTGTCTGATTTCTCTTTTTTTTTTTTTTTTTTGAGTCGGAGTCTCACTCTGTCGCCCGGGCTGGAGTGCAGCGGAACGCTGCTCACGGCCACGGCAGCCTCGACCTGCTGGGCTCAGGCGATCCTTCCACTTCAGCCGTCCAAGTAGCTGGAACTACAGGCGCGCGCCCTCAGGCCCAGCTAATTTTTTGATTTATTGTACAGAAGAGGTCTCGCCATGTTGCCCAGGCTGGACTCGAACCTCTGGCAATCTTCTCGCCTCGGCCACCCAAAGTGCTTGGACTACAGGCTTGAACCACAGTGCCGGACCTCTTGCCAGATTTCTAAGTGGCCCAGCTTCTTTCTTTCCATTTCCCACATTACCTGCGAAACTTTTATTACTTCTTCCTGACTGTGGGTAGGCTAAATTGGGATAAACAGCCTACAAATAACTAGAATCTGTGCATACAAGGGGTGACAAAAAATGCGTTAATCAAATGAATGCTAGTCTCACCATGGGACAGTCAGGACAGTCAAAGAAAATGACAGAAGCACGGTTGAGCAAACATCATACTACACATTGCCACTGTAGTTCAACTTCAAAAAGTAATATGCAGATAACATCTCTTAAAATGTATATACTTTTTTTTTGGCACCCCCTGTATCTAACTGAAGATAAGACTATGGTGCATAACACTGTTTTCTCACTTCCTTCAGTATTTCACTCAAATGTTAACTTCCCTGAAATGTTTTCCTTGGCTTCACTAAATACAATTGTAAACCACCCTCTCCCCAACACATACACTTTCTATCCCCCTTCCCTCATTTTTCGAACACTGAACACTATCTGACATACTATATACAGCATGTATTTCTCGTTTATTGTCCACTCCCCACCCCGCAGAATTTAAGAACCATGAAGGCAAGGATTTTCGACTTTTTTCACTGCTGTATCCCCTGCTCCTAGGCTAGGGCTTAGAACTTAGTAGGCACTCATTGCTCTCCCAGACTCTAACTAGACACACTTGTCTGTCGAATCTAGCGGTTCTCTCTCATCTTCTATTCTCTATTAGAATTGTCAGACTAAAGGACACAAGGCCAAGAACTTAAATTCAATTTCAGACAGAAAATTTAACTTTCAGACCTTGGGCTGACCAACAGGGCAATCTACATACAGTAGTACCAGACCTGCTTTTCTTGTCTCCTTTTCTCCACACAGAACCCAACCTCCAATGGGGGTGCTCAGATAGAGATAACTCTAGACCTCCTGTCCTTCCTCTGGAATTTTTAAAGAGGCAGTGTCTTGCCCTGTCACCCAAGCTAGAATGCAGTGGCATCATAAACTCACTGCAGCCTCCAACTTCTGGGCTCAAGCGATCCTCCTGCCTCAGCCTCTGAAGTAGCTGAGACTACAGGCATGCCATCATCCTGGGCTAACGTCTCTGTGTTTTAGAGATGGGGTTTCACTCTGTTGCCCAGGCTGGTCTTTAACCCCTAGCCTCAAATGATCTTCCCATCTCAGCCTCCCAAAGCACTGGGATTACAGGCATGAGCCACCCACGCCTGGCCTCCTTTGTAACTGTTCTACTGAGATGTCAGAATGTAGCAACTTCCTCACACACAAATCAATTTTAGCACTTGGAGAGCACCTACTCATAAGATTTTTGTGCTGAGCGCAGTGGAAGAGAGTGAGAAATCAGGACAAGCCTCTGACCGGGAGTGGGCTGGAGGTAGGAGGATTAAACATACACACAATAGGTATGACACAAAGTAAGTCTTAAATGAAAAAAATCATGTAAATCACTTCATCACTTCCTTTGCTTCCTAAAAACACATTGCATACATCTCATTGCATACAGCAAGCACCAGATCAAGTACTGGCACTTTTCTTCACAGATAAGACACAGCTTGTAAAATCATTTCTGTGCAAAATCTACTATCTCCTTCCAACCACAAGCAGTGTGTTTTGGGAGAAAAACATTCTATGAGCTGGGAGTTATAAAATCTAAACTCCAGTCTCTACTGTCACTAAAATCCTTTTCAACCCAAACTTCTGTAATCTGATTCTTCCCTGATTAACATTTCTTCCCATCACCTGTACCATAATGTATTCCAGGTTAACTTTCTCATTCAACTTCAAACTGCTTACATGTGTATCTCTAATATGGCTATAGTTAAACACATTAAAAATATAAAATGTGTCTATCGCCTGGCATCTCTATTAGCTTTGTTATTGTGGTAGCATAAGCATGTCAACAAGGAAAACACTAGGTAGTAATTAAGATACTTAAGATGAAGTAAAAAAACAAGCACGATTCTTTTTTCAACATTATTTAACTTGTTTCTGCTTTTTTATTTTTACTACTGATATTTCTTTTCTTTTTTTTTTTTTTTTTTTAGTTGGAGTCTTACCCATCACCCAGGCTGGAGTGCAGTGGCATGCTCACGGCCACTGCAGCCTCAACTTGCTGGGCTCAGGTGATCCTTCTACCTCAGCCTTCCAAGTAGCTGGAACTACAGGCACATGCCCCCATGTGTGGCTAATTTTTTTATTTATTGTAGAGACGAGGTCTCACCAAGTTGCCCAGGCTGGTCTCAAACCCTCAGGCTCAGGCAATCCTCTCACCTCGGCCTCCCAAAGTGCTGGGATTACAGGTTGAGCCAAAAACTCCTGGCTACTACTGATATATCTAACATCTCATCTCAGTACTTACCTCCTGGTTGCTCCTTCTACCTTTCTAATGTATAATGAATATGTTACAAAACAGAAGTTACTTCATATCACTCTCTTGCTTAAGGACTTAATGACTCTCCAGTTTATTGACCAACTTCAAATTCCTGCCTGGTGTTCACAATCATTTCACATACATCTACCTAGTTTCCCTAATTATATGAGCTTCAATAGGCATGGACTGTCAAGTTTTTTCATATCCCTCAGTTCAAAATAACGTGTGTGCAAAAATTAATTTTATAATTTAATTTGTAAACTTATGAAGACTTTTTTTTTGCGAACATTCACCAAGTTGCCTGATTACAGATAGAATATTTGAGAAAGTGTTATCAAAGTAGCATGCAAATTTTTGAGAAGACAAGCTTAACTTGGGGATGCTGTTTAAGAATGCAATTTTAGCTGGGTGTGGCAGCTCAAGCCCATAATACCAGCACTTTGGGAGATGGAGACAAGAGAATTGCCTGAGCTCAGGAGTTCAAGACCAGCCTGAGCAACATGGCAAGATCTTGTCTCCACAATAAATAAAAAATTAGCTGAGCGTGGTGGCGCACATCTGTGGTTCCAGCTACTTGGAAAGGTGAGGTGGAAGGATCACCTGAGGCAGTAGGTCGAGGCTGCGGTGGCCATGAGTATGTCACTGCACTCCAGCCTGGGCAAGATTGAGACTCCAACTCAAAAAAAAAGAATGCAATTCTGAAAATAAAGCTAAAAAGTAAGATCTGGGTTCTTTGATGCAGGAATTCCACTTGTAGGAGTAGTTTATCATCCAGACATACTTTCGTCATGCATACTATGTTTGTTCAAGTTATTCACTGCAGCACTGTTTATAATAGTGAAAGACTAGAAATAATCCAAATATCTATCAACAAGAGGCAACCACATAAACTACAGAAAATCACACAAATGAAAAAGCCTCCAAAATATCAAGTAAAAAAACAAGAAGTCCCAAGACTGTTGAAATAGTATACTTTCATTTGTGTATAAAGGGGGATGCCAAAGAGCATATTCATATTTATTTGTATATATATAAAAATGTCTGGAAGGGGCCAGGCACGGTGACTCATGCCTGCAATCCCAGCATTTTGGGAGGCTGTGGCAAGAGGATTGTTTGAGCCCAGGTGTTCCAGACCAGCCTGGGTAACATGGCAAGACCAGTCACTACAATAAATAAAAAAATAAGCTGGGCGTGGTGGTGCATGCCTATGGTTCCAGCTACTCAGAAGGCTGAGGTGGAAGGATCACCTGAGTCCAGAAGTCGAGGATACGTTGGCCGTGAGCAAGCCACAGCCTCTACACTCCAGCCTGGGCAACAGAGTGAGACTGACTCCAAAAAAAAAGTCGGGAAGGATGTAGGAAAGCTAGCAACAGTGGCCACCTACTTTGGGGAAGGTGATACAAACTGTGGGGTTGAGGAAAGGGATGGAAAGAAAACTTGCCTCAGAGTCATTTTTTTACATGAGCTAATTTTTGAAAAATATATATATATGAATGTATTATTTATTGAAAAATAAACTTAAGATACAAAAAGTGCCTATTTTAATAAAAGGCACAGTACCTTACCCTACCCAATTATTCTTAGCATATGACAAATACTGCATTGCCAATGTAATCATTATCATATAGGTAACGTACTAATTATTCTTATATACGTATATTACATGTAAAATATCTAAAGTAATGACAGGCACATGGCGGGTACTCAACAAATACTGGCTATAATTAGCAATAGACAGTAGGCTGCAATAAAAAATAGAATGCGGAGCTACTTGCTTCCTGTCATTCTCACAGCAGTTTGGGTCAGCCTATGCCTATCATATATCCTATGAAAAATATGTGCTTCTTTTCCTTGATAGTGAATATGTGTTATTTCTGTAATTAAAAATAATTCTGGAAAGATATCTGCTGCATGAGGTGAATAGGAACATAACAGTGTACAGGAAATAAATGACAAGCCAAGAAGCTCTCACAGAAATTTATTTAGTGTGAGACACAAAATATGAGAACAAGAGTTGTAAAGGACAAATCACTAACAAATGGTGTGCATTTTAGAAAACCAAGTGATTTCTCCTCAAATCTTAAGGTTCTTGGTACACA